GTGCCGGGTTTTCGGCAGGGGGGGCGGTGTGTTTCCTTCCATCTCTTTTTTTTTTTAATGGCACCAAACAGCCCATGGGGGGGAGTGGGGGGTGTGCAGGGTTGTCTGTCCCATGGGTCTCTGTCCACTCCTGTCATGGACTGGCTACCTGTCTAAGGTGTGTCCCCCACCTTTGGCCAAATGGCACCCGGGATGGGCTCCAGCCCCCACCATCCCAAGTAGGAGTAAGAAAGTATGGGAAATGGATAGATGGACTCTTTCCAAAGACAGTATGTTTGTCCTGAGTATTCTTCAAAAAAATGTGAGCGACATCTATCTATCTATCTATCTATCTATCTATCTATCTATCTATCTATCTATCTATCTATCTATCTATCTATCTATCTGTCCATCCGTCCATCAATCCATCATCTATTTTCTGTTTGGACTTTATGCTGTTTGGGCCTAAAGTTGCTCTTTACTTGCTCATATACAGTGGGAGAAATAAGTATTTGAGCCCTTGCTGATTTTGCAGGTTTGCCCACTTACAAAGAATGCTTATTTTTCCTCATCAGATGGTTATCCATTTTTATAAATTCATATGACGTGATTTTCTGGAATTTTCTTTGGGATTCTGTCTTTCACTGTTAGAATGTACATATGATTAAAGTTACAGATCGTTGCATTCTTTGTAAGTGGGCAAACCGGCAAAATCAGCAAGGAGTCAAATACTTATTTCCCCAGTTGTATCTCTGACCTTAGCTTGAATGTAGTTCTCTTGGATGCGTTTGCGTTGGCGGGACTCACTTTGGCCGTACTGGCTGTACTGGTATCCGGCGGCGGCCACGGCCGGGTCCACTCCGTAGCTGCTGGCGCTGTAGGTGGGCGGGCAGTACGGCTGCGAGGAGGGGAGACTGTCCACCGGCTTTATGGAGGCCTCGGCCGGCCGCTGGCTGCAGCTGGTGGAGATGCTGTTGGAGGGGGAGGAGTCCATGGTGGTTTGGAGGGGCGACATGGAGAAGTCGTGCTGGGGCTGAGAGGACACGCTGCCGGGGTTAGCCAGGATGCTCATGACCTGCAGACACACGCCACAGCCAACGTCAGAGAGCTTCTTCTCAGCGTAGAGCGGGAGGCTGTGACCAACAAACCACATTAACCATCACTACTGCTGACCATGGTGAAGAACTGTCAAAGGGATAACCATCACTGTCTGGATATTCCTTATAGTGTCATCAAAATGTCAATATCATTTCTGTTGTAGTCTGTTTTATTAAAGAATTTTGGTCTATACATGTGTCTTCTATCTTGTTCATTATCACCAGTTAAATTAATTATTCTATTTTATTTAATTATTTCTATATTTGTTGTCCATTCGTTCTTTTTTCCAGTTGGGGCAGATCTTTCCTCATCTTTTTGTGAATAAAGTCTAAGTTGTTCTGAGTGGAAGGAGCAGCTCTATGGGAGTCAAGTTCTTAAAACCAGGCCACTTAAGAGACAGGCTGATCCACAACATTAAAATGAACACAGCTCAAGAGCTACTCAAGAAAAACTCACAATAGACAATAGATCCACAACTGTTGTTATACAGGATGAGAGGACTTTAGCAGGGAGTTTTATTCACATCGACCAGCCTGCTAATGACGTCGGTCATGAGGCAGAAACTGTGCAGAGTGTGTTCTTGGACACTGGATACCAGGGTCTGTACGATAAGATTGACAACATCCGATGACGAATAAAGCTACTGCTCTCAAACTGGCCGAGACGAGTCCTCCAAACGGCCAGCAAAGACAGATTTGGTGAAGAGGGACATGGTGCCATAGGATGTGTGGAGGTCCCTGACCTCCAGTGACCAGCAGAGGACCGCATGGAGCCCCATCCTGGAGGGGTTATTCGGTCATTTGCAGTGGTGGAGAAAGTACTCATACAATGTACTTAAGTAAAAGTACAAATACACAGACAAAAAGTTACTCAAGTAAAAGTCAAAGTACCACATTATTATTTTACTTAAGTAAAAGTAAGAAAGTACAAGCTTTTAAAACCACTTAAGTATTAAAAGTAAAAGTACTTGCCAACCATAATACCTAACGGCTTATATAATGTCATTAAGTGTACCTATCGTATTTAGTTTTAATAAATCAGTAATGTACCATTTTAATGAGCAATGCTGCAGATAAAGCATGTTTTTATTGTGTGTGACAGTTTAGATTTAGATATTTTATGCTGCTCTTCTTGAGGGAGGGCCTAATGGTTATTTCCCGCTTTGGATTGGTTCAGCGGACTGATTCTGCTCTCGCCATTGGATACTTTCAAACTAACGAACAAATAAAAAAAACCGAAATGCGTATTGGATGTAACGAGTAACGAAACGCTGTATAGAAATGTAGTGAAGTAGAAAGTACAGATACTTACTGTTAAATGTAGTGGAGTAAAAGTAGAAAGTATCCATTATTAAATCTACTTAAGTAAAGTACAGATACACGGAAATTGTACTTAAGTACAGTAACGAAGTACTTGTACTTGGTTACTTCCCACCACTGGTCATTTGAGGGTGATTCAGTGCCTGAATAGTTGCCGTAGAGCAAAGAGAGCTGATGAAGTGGTACATTTCAAACAGTCAGGGCAAAGAAGAAGCCATAAGTGGGCCAGGCTGCTCTTAAAGGAGGCCTTAATGGTGTTGTTGTCAGACAGACGGCTTATGTGAAGTTCCCGGTTCCGGTTTTTTGGGAGTCAGTTGCGCTCTTTGAACTGGCGCTGACAATCCATGGCTCCGGCAGCTAAATTGGAGCGACGGTTTAGTGGAGATACATCACACGGGGGAAACCACTTGTTGAAATCCCTGTAAGCAGCGCAGCCAAACACGACGGGATTTTACCAAGCCGCACAGCTCTGGGCGGCACCAAGCTGCTGGGGAAACTGTAGAAAAGAACCAGGAAGACCTCGCTGACCTCGAAGCAATTGATTTATGTTCATGCATGCAATGATGAAGATGTTGGCTCTTTTCCAAATCTTTCAATAAAAATTGCTCATATGCTGCCATCATTTAAGCCCTTTACAAACCCCTTTGTTATTTAATCGATCATACAATTAAAGTGAATGTGTCATGATGGTTTATGAGTTCCATATCTGTATAATTCGAGGAGACATTGTTCTATGAGGAGTGGTTGACCCCACAAAATGTTGTGTTTGCCTTTTCCATGAATAAAACACTTAAAATGGACAGGTCACTGTTACTTGTGCGTTGCTTTGGTCGGTGGGGGGCAGTAAGCCTAACCCTGTTCTTTCTTTAACCTTTTTTAACAGGCAAGTACAATGTGAAAGCATATCAGATAAGATAAAGCATTTTAAGAAGTACAGAATAGTTAGTTTTATGTGCCTGTAATCACTTTAAAAATGTCGGTAGCCCTGTAATCTGAGGGTCTCATCAAGATGGTGGTCCAACATGTTGTGTTTGATGGTTTTGGAATTAGAATTCATTAGCTCTTGTTAATTAAAAACGTTTATCCCGCTATTTTTCAGTTTTTATTGAATAATAATTTTAAATCACAGAAATGTTTAGTCTTGTTTGAAAGACTAATGTCTGAAAACATCACTTCTCTTACAAATACTGCAATAGCTGTCAGTAAAAATGCAGTCGTATTGAATTAAATTAAGAACAAATTAAGACAATTTCAGTAACTGGCACAGTGCTTTTTTGAAGGATTTACTTTAATGTGCATAAATAAATAATTTTTATTGACGTGTCTCAAACCTGTTCTCTATACAATCTTACTAACATCTGCTGATTCAGATATAAAATCATTTTTAGAAAATTCTTATAGAAAAAAGAAAAATTCTAATTTGTAGAATGAAATATGCCACAACTGGTAAGCTGCCTGTGAGTGAAGGTCATCTCTTGTGTCAATGGAGGGTGGACGGTAGGGGAATCTGAACAGGCAGACACAGGAAGAGACTGTGGGGATAAGACCATTACATCCCATTTGAATGGGTCAGGAGTTTTGAACAGATGGGGAGATGAAAGGGAAACGGTGTGCAGAGGTGATGAGTTTATGTTGAAGACACACTGTACATCTCCTGTTTATTTCCTCCTCTGAACGCGTATCTCCCACATCTCTCTTTTCTGTTTTTATTCCAGCTCTCAGTTTACTACCTAGCTCAGAATTGTAACTAAGGATAATTCAGTTATGTGTATTTGACTTATCAACAGTGTTGGGTAAGTTACTTTAAAATTGTAATCCGTTACAGTTACAAGTTACCTTGTTTAAAATGTAATTGTAGTGTAACTTTTTCGATTACTTTTCAAAAGTAATGTAACTAATTACGTTTGATTACTTTTTGATTACTTTAAGGTTTTAATGAGTATTAACCCATGATTAATTTTCTCATGTTATTATTAGCTAATGGCCGCAGCTAGCAGTTCAAGGCTAACGTCTTGTTAATGATCATAAACAACGTAAATAAATACATAAATAAATCTGAGACAAGGGGCGCAGCGACGGCAGGTCAGTCGTATCCGGATACAACATTTTAGTATCTATACTTTTTTAAGTATCGATACTTTTGACAACCCTAGTCTGAAATGTAGGACATGTCCAGGAGAAAGAGGACGTCTGGTCACCCTACAGTTGGGTAGGCTAGGTAGGCTAGGCTAGGCTAGGTCATTGACATCGATAAACGTTTGTCATGCATCAAAACCAAACAGTCAAATATTAGTAAATCAATACGCTTTGTCTATCAGTGAGTTGCATATTTTGCAAAGGTTTTTCTTTATATTTTTTAAAAATTGTAAACCAAATTTGTAATTCTTAATATTTTCGGAAGTAACTGTAGCTGAATGACATATTTTCTCATTGTAACTGTAACGAATTACAGTTACTCTTTTTTTGTAATTAAATTACGTAACGTCGTTACATGTAATCCGTTACTCCCCAACACTGCTTATCAAGGAAAGGTCTTCATCACGTGCCATTAGCTCAGCCACTACATTCACTGTGATAAAGTGTGCTCTATGGTGTCCCACTGAGCATGGCTGTGGGTGGATAAAGCCAGTGGGATTAAGAATGATGTGGAGATGTTTGGATGAAACCTGATTTATCACTCAGTTCCCTCTCATCTCTTTGTTGGAGTCAGAGGGGGGGCAGTAATGGCAAAGAATTTGAGGCAAATCAGTGGCAACGCAGATTATCTGACGCAATCACAGGTGATTATTAAATCATTCCGTGCTCCCCAACAGCCAGTAATCCTGAAAATCCAAACTTCCCGCATTAGCTCTGAGGAAAAAACTCATCATGATGTCATGATGAAACATTTCACTTCTTTCAAATGATCTGTACTCATCACCAGGCCGACCTGGAAGAAGGATAACCCCTAACAATAGGACAGTGGCCTACATGTGATATCAGCACGAGCTGTTTCTAACTAGTTATTAGTCCTACTGACCACTTCTATGTCCACAGTTTGGATGTCTTCACTTCCAGTCAGTTTGATTAAATAATCATTTATGAATCCATTCCATGTTGACTGCAGCTGCATATACAACCAATGTTCATCTCCCAAGAAAATAAAGAGCAAAAGAATAATCTAAATCATTTCCCTCTGGGATTATTCAAGTATTTCTGATTCTGATTCTGATTTATTTCGGTTTTGTCTACTCAGGCTGCTCCAATCCACATCTTCTAAAGATAAAACTCATTGGAGTTTGATTGCATAGTGACCAAACCCCAATAAACACTCCTACAGTTTATGTTCATTTGTTTTAACGCGAATAGATAGAGAAAACTGCAGAACATGAGCACCTGAGCTGAAGACGAGGGAAAGTATTTGCAAAATACAGATTATTTTGCAAATACTTTCCCTCGCTCTGGGTTAATTTATGAATATATTTAGTTTATTAGTGGCAAAACATGCTCTGTGGTTTTACCCAGCTTTACAGTGCTTTCTGTTTGTGCCCTTTTGAGAATAAACCTACGTTCACCTAGAGTTCCTGGTCCTTATTTTGGCCCTGTGTTCGGATCCAGCTTTCCATGTGTCACCCTCTGCTTCAATACACCTGATTAAAATCAATGTATCATTAGTAGTTATGTGCAGAACTGAAGAATCTAAATTTGAGGAGATCTCTCTGATCTAAATCTGGTGAGTTGAAGCCAGGTATATCTG